AAACCGACCATCAACAAGGCACATCATAGTCAAATTGACAAAGTACTCAGGCAAGGAGAGAATCATAAAACCAACAGGGAAATAAAGTCCATAACTTACATGGGAAGACAGACCAGGTTTACAGCAGACCTATCCACAGAAACATGGCAGGCAAGAAAGGAGTGGTGGGATGTATTCAGTGTGTTAAATCAGAAAAATATGCAGCCAAGAATTCTGTATCCAGCAAGGCTGTCATTCAAAATAGAAGGCTAGATAAAAAGATTCCCATACAAACAAAAATTAAACAAGTTTGTGACCACTAAACCAGCCCTGCAAGAAATTTTATGGGAGACTCTCTGAGGGGAGAAAAGATGAAAATATATCTGTATAAATAAATACATAAATGCCAAAATCAACAAAGATTAGAAAGACAAAAGAACACCACCATAAACTCCAACTCTACAAGCATCATAATAGCAATAAACTCATATCTTTCAGTACTCACTCCAAATGTCAATGGACTCAATGCCCCAATCAAAAGACATAGGGTAACATAATGGAGAAGAAAACAAGATCCATCTATATGCTTTTTACAAGAGACCCACTTTAGACTTAAAGACGCCTCCAGATTGAAAATAAGGGGATGGAGAACCATCTATCATGCTAATGTTCAACAAAAGAAAGCTGGAGTAGCCATACTGATATCAGACAATCTAGATTTTCAAATAAAGACTGCATCAAGAGATGCAGAATGGCATTATATCCTTCATAATCAAAGGGTCTATCCACCAAGAAGACCTAACGATTGTAAACATTTATGTGCCAATTGTGAGAGCACCCAAATATAGAAATCAATTAATCACAAACATAAAGAAACTCATCGATAAGAATACCATAATAATAGGAGAGTTCAACACCCCACTCACAACAATGAACAGATCACCTGATCAAAAAATCAATAAGAAAACAATGGTTTTCAATGACACACTGGACCAGAAGGACTTAACAAATATATTCATAACATTTCATCCTAAAGCAACAGAATATGCATTCTCTCCAGTGCACATGGAACGTTCTCCAGAATAGACCATATACTGGGACACAAATCAGCCCTAAGTAAGTACAAAAAGATGGAGATCATACCATGCATATTTTCACACCACAATGCCATGAACTCAAAATCAACCCCAAGAAAAAATTTGAAAAGGTAACAAATAATTAGAGACTGAAGAACCTACTAAAGAATGAATGGGCTATCCAAGCACTTAAAGAAGAAATTAAAAATATATGGAAGTCAATGAAAATGATAACACCACAATGCAAACCTCTAGGATGCAGCAAAGGCAGCCATAAGAGGAAAGTATATAGCAATCCAGGCCTTCCTAAAGAAGGAAGAAAAATCTCAGATACACAACCTAAACTTATGACTAAAGAGCTGGAAAAGGAACAGCAAATAAAACCCCAAACCAGCAGAACGCAGGAAATACTAAGGATTAGAGAAGAAATTAGTGCTATCGAAACCAAAACACAGAACAGGTCAATGAAACTAAAAGCTGGTGTTTTGAAAGAATTAACAAAATTGATAAACCACTTTTCAGTTTGATCAAAAAGAAAAAGGAAAGGACCCAAATGAATAAAATCAAGAATGACAGAGGAGAGATCACAACCAACACAACAGAAATAAAAACAGTAATAAGAGAATGTTATGAGCAATTATATGCCAATAAAATGGGCAATCTGGAAGAAATGGACAAATTCCTAGAAACATATACACTACCAAAACTGAAACAGGAAGAAATAGAAAATTTGAACAGACCCATAACCAGTAAGGAAATCGAATTAGTAATCAAAAATCTGCTAAAAGACACCAATCCAGGACCAGATGGCTTTCCAGGGGAATTCCACCAAACATTTCAGGAAGAGTTAACACCTATTCTCTTGAAACTGTTCCAAAAAATAGAAACGAGAGGAAAACTTCCAAACTCTTTCTATGAAGCCAGCATTACCTTGATTCCAAAAACAGACAGAGACAACACTTTAAAAGAGAACTATACACCAATTTCCCTGATGAACATGGATGCAAAATCCTCAACAAGATATTATCCAACCAGAAACAATAATACATTAAAAAATTATTCACCACGACCAATTGGGATTTATACCTGGGATGCAGGGCTGGCTCAATATCTGTAAAACAATTAATGTGATTCATCACATCGATAAAAGAAAGGACAGGAACCATATGATCCTCTCCATAGATGCAGAGAAAGCATTTGACAAAATACAACATCCTTTCTTGATAAAAACTCTCAAGAAAGTAGGGATAGAAGGACCATACCTCGAGATCATAAAAGCCATCTATGAACGACCCAATGCTAATATCATCCTCAAGGGGGAAAAAAAGAGAGCTTTCTCCCTAAGGTCAGGAACAAGACAGTGATGTCCACTCTAGCCACTGTTATTCAACATAGTATTGGAAGTCTTAACCTCTGCAATCAGACAACACAAAGAAATAAATGGCATCCAAATCGGCCAGGAGGCGGTCAAACTTTCACTCTTCACAGATGACATGATACTCTATATGGAAAACCCAAAAGACCCCACCAAAAAACTGCTAGAATTGATTCATGAATTCAGCCAAGTGGCAGGATATAAAATCCACGCAGAGAAATCAGTTGCATTCCTACACCAACAATGAAGCAACAGAAAGAGAAATCAAGGAATCTATCCCATTTACAGTAGCATCAAAACCCATAAAACACCCAGGAATAAATCTAACCAAAGAGGTGAAAAATCTTTACACTGAAATCTATAGAAATCTTATAAAACAAATTGAAGAAGACAAAATATGGAAAAAGATTCCATGCTCCTGAATAGGAAGAACAAATATTGTTAAAATGCCAATAGTACCAAAATCAATCTACATATTCAATGCAATCCCGATCAAAGTGACACCAGAATTCTTCACAGAGCTAGAATAAATAACCCTAAAATTTGTATGGAACCAGAAAAGCCACCGAATAGCCAAAGAAATCTTGAAAAAGAAAACCAATGCAGGAGGCATCACAATCCCAGACTTCAAGCTATACTTCAAAGCTGTAATCATCAAGACACTATGGTACTGGCACAAGAACAGACACTCAGGGGCATCTGAGTGGATCAGTCTGTTAAGCATCCGACTTTGACTCAAGTCACGATCTGGCAGTTCGTGAGTTAGAGTACCACATCAGGCTGTGTGCTGACAGCTCAGAGCCTGAAGCCTGCTTGGAATTCTGTGTCTTCCTCTCTCTCTGACTCTCCCCCACTCATGCTCTGTCTCTGTCTCTGAAAAGTAATAAATAAATGCAAAAAAAATTAAAAACAAGAACAGACACTCAGATCAATGGAACAGAATACAAAATCCAGAAATGGACCCACAAATGTATGCCCAAATAATCTTTCAAAAGCAGGAAATACTATCCAATGGAATAAAGACAGTGTCTTCAGCAAGTGGTGCTGGGAAAACTGGACAGCGACATGCAGAAGAATGAACCAGGACCACTTTCTTACACCAGACACAAAAATAAACTCAAAATGGATGAAAGACCTCAATGTAAGTCAGGAAGCCATCAAAATCCTCGAGCACAAAGCAGGCAAAAATATCTTTGATCTTGGCTGCACCAACTTCCTACTCAACACGTCCCTGGAGGCAAGGGGGGAAAAAAGCAAAAATGAATTACTGGGACCTCATCAAAATAAAAAGTTTCTGCATAGTGAAGGCAACAATCAGCAAAACTAAAATTCAACTGACAGAATGGGAGAAGATATTTGCAAATGACATCTCAGATAAAGTGTTAGTATCCAAAATCTATAAAGAATTTATCAAACTCAACATCCAAAACACAATCCAGTGATGAAATGGGCAAAAGGCATGAATAGACACTTCTCCAAAGAAGACATCCTGATGGCCAACTGACACATGAAAAAATGCTCCACATCACTCATCATCACGGAAATGCCAATCAAAACCCTAATGAGATACCACCTGACACCTGTCAGAATGGCTACCTTAACAACTCAGGCAACAACAGATGTTGGCAAGGATGCAGAGAGAGGATCTCTTTTGCATTCTGGGGGGCAATGCAAGTTGGTGCAGCCACTCTGGAAAACTGTATGGAGATTCCTCAAAAAACTAAAAATAGAACTCCCCTATGACCCAGCAATTGCACTACTAGGCATTTATCCACGGGACACAGGTGTTCTGTTTCAAAGGGACACATGCACCCCCATGTTTATAGCAGCACTATCAACAATAGCCTAAGTATGGAAAGAACCAAATGTCCATCGATGGATGAATGGATAAAGAAGTGGTAAATATATACAATGGAGTATTACTCGGCAATCAAAAAGAGTGAAATCTTGCCATTTGCAATTATGTGGATGGAACTACAGGGTATTATGCTAAGTGAAATGAGTCAGTCAGAGAAAGAAAAACTGATATGACTTCACTTATATGAGGACTTTAAGAGACAAAACAGATGAACACAAGGGAAGGCAAACAAAAATGACATGAAAACATGGGGGGGACAGAGCATAAGAGACTCATAGATATGGAGAACAAACAGAGGGCTACTGGAGGGGTTGTGGAAGGGGGATGGGCTAAACTGGTAAGGGGCACTAAGGAATCTACTCCTGAAATCATTGTTGCATTATATGCTAACGAATTTGGATGTCAATTTTTAAAACTAAAAATAAATACTAATTAAAAATTTAAATATTGTAAGAGAAAATAATGTGTAATCATGCGGTTGAGGTAAATATTTCTTAAACATTATGCCGAAGCCTCCATTAATAAAGGTAAAAATCCAAAACTGAAAAAAAAAGAATTCTTCATATTGTCACACCGCCATCCACACAAACTAATGTAGAAGTGCGTCCCTAACCCTGTCTTTCACTTTTACGCAATCAAATCTAAGTCTGGAGCTTGATATATATGTCAGAGGACATGCAAATGGGGCTCTTTCTGTGCTGATAAAACCAGCCCAGGCCCGACCCTAAATCTGGGAGACGAGCCCCAGCCACAGGAGTCCCAGGTGTTCCCATTCTGTGATCAGCACAGAACACACACACCTCACCATGGAGTTTGTGCTGGGCTGGGTGTTCCTGGTTGCTCTTTTAAAAGGTAATTCATGATGAACGAGGGACACTGAGTCTGTGAATGGATATGAGTGAACAGTGGATGTGTGACAGTTTCCTGACCAAGATGTCTTGTGTCTGCAGGTGTCCAGTGTGATGTGCAGCTGGTGGAGTCTGGGGGAGACCTGGTGAAGCCTGGGGGGTCCCTGAGACTCACCTGTGTGGCCTCTGGATTCACCTTCAGTAGCTACTACATGAGCTGGGTCCGCCAGGCTCCCGGGAAGGGGCTGCAGTGGGTCGCAGGAATTAGTGGTAGTGGAGGTAGCACAGGCTACACAGACTCCGTGAAGGGCCGATTCACTATCTCCAGAGACAACGCCAAGAACACGCTGTATCTGCAGATGAACAGCCTGAAGACCGAGGACACGGCCACATATTACTGTGCAAGAGACACGGTGAAGGGACCTCACTGGGAACCCACACACAAACCTCCCTGCAGGAGGGGATCAGCACCACCAGGGGGCGCACACTATGCACAATTCTCCTTTGTGTTCCCAGGAGCTGGTGCAGATGGAGGTTACAGGCAGGTTTCCTGTCAGGGTCTGGGGCTTCCTCTCCACACAGCAGTTTCCCCAGGGAGCCTCCCTGGTTATATGCTTCTATGTTTACCTATTAACTCTCTGAATTAGCAACTGGGTTGTCATAGGGAAACTATACTAACATGCACAAAACACAGTTGTTTGCACTTGCTTACTCCAGTCCCTCAACATGAGTGAATTACAGATTTCCTGAGGCACAACAGCTGCATGTTTACAGGAATCCCAGATACTCTCCCTGTGCAGCCAGGACCACAGGATCCCACAGCTCCTCCTTATCCTCATCCAGCCCTTGTCCCAGTCAACCAACGTGACACTTTCTTCATACCCCTTTGCTACTCAGGACTTTAAATGAGCTACAACTTTATTCAATTACTCTAAATGAGAGACAAACAATCTCCATGTATTAGTCAAGATTCCCCTGAGGAACACAACCCAAAGGTCATTGGTTTCCATAACCAAATATGTTGAGAAGTCCCATGATCCACTGTCACAAGCTGAAGACCCAGGAAAACCAGTGATGTAATTCTTGTCTGATTCTGACTAGTGTCTAGTCTCAGAACGTGGAGAGATGATGATGTAACTCTCAGAAAAAGGGCCGGAGGAGACCAATATTCCAATTCAAACAAGCACATGGGAAGTAAAAATGAGGGAATTCGTCCTCCATCTGCATCAGATTCTAGTCACAAACTTAATGGAATGGGTGGTGCTCAGGCAGAAAGAAACCATGGATGGAAATGCCAATCTCTTCTGGAACACATCACAGACATCCACAGAAACAGTGGTGAATCTGGGCACCCATGACACAGTCAAAATAACCTATAAAGTTAATCATGACAAGTCAACGTCCTGTAAACATGGAGCTCAAAGACTGAAGATTTAACAGTCGATCCCATCATTGGGGTGGAGTCTGGTGGGCACAGCGGTGCTCCTGTGGAGGAGGGCAGAGGCCCATAAGGGGAACTGTGGTCTGAATATCACCTGGGTCTCATGGGGAGAGACAATTCCCTTTGTGGAGTGCATTTGGGAGACGGGGCATTGGCTCTCATAGGACAGGAGAGCTGACAGGCACCATTAAAATTCCCTGATCATTAGCATAGGAGCCTCTTCTGAGAGCAGCTAGCTGGACGCTGCCTTCTGGTTGTTCTTCACCATGTACTCCAAGCCGCTAGTGTTCATGCAACTGCCCATCTGGGGTAAACCAGCTCCAGGCACAGCACACCAAGACCCTCTCCCAGAGGATCAGTGGGGTCCCTGTCATATTGAGTTCACACAATTTGGAGTTTTCAAACCCAGCTAGAGCTCCTGAGATAAAACATAAGATCCCTGTGCCACCAGATGGGCCAATGGCTTGGACGCACACAGGGTGAAAGCAATTCTGACGGAAGCCTGGGACCCACAAGTGTTCTCTCTCTGTGAGGGCTTCCGGAAAAGGGGAGGCTGGGAACTCCAACTCCTGGGACTAAAGAGGGAGCTGATGCCAATATTTCCTCCCACCAATCAGGATGTACATATTTCACTCAGCAGCACAGCATTCCTAGTGGAAGCTGAGCCACTAACACCAAGCTCCACCTACTCCAGCCCCCATCAAGTGCTTGCTTACTAGGAAAGAGTGCCTGGAAACCAGAGCACCACTGCACCCCTTCCTCCAAAAACCACCGTAAACCCCCACACGCACCAAGTCAGCAGATCATACAGTGAGGCATATCCTCAACTCTAGGTGAGATAGAAATTAGCCTCTTTTAACAAGTAGACCAAATTCACCTAGTTAAAACTCACAACACTGGGCACAAGGTCCAACACTCCCCACTGGAGGCAAGGAGAAAATCTGCAGAGGACTGTCCTGAGGGACAGAGCAGCCAAAACATGACAGCACAGTGCCATGGAACATAACACAAATGCTTCATGAAGTGTCAGGCCCTGGACAGTATGTGAACACTTCTCTAGAAAGTATGTAAACACTTTCTAGAAGCAGAAAAGATAACAGGATTTTCTAAAACATTTAAGAAGGCAGAGACATAGACAACAACATGATGGAGGAATTCATCCTAAAAGAAAAAATGATAAAAGGTCATTGTGAGGGATATAATTAAAACACATAAAGTGCCTCAAACAGAATTTCTAAAAATTCTCATAATGAAACAGGATTTTCAAAAAGTATCATAAGGATACTAGCTGTGCTTGAGGAAAATATATGAGACATGAGGGATACCCTTCCTGCAAACAGAAAAGACCTAAAAACTAGTCAGCATGAAATTTTAAATGTTGTAACCGAGATGTGAAACTGATTGGATATAATGACCTCAAGGCTGAAAGAAGCAGATGAATGAGGAAGGAACATAAAAGATAAAATTATGGGGGAAATGAAGTTGGAAAGAAGAGGAAATTTAAAATATTGCATCACAAACGTACACTTAGGGAAATCAGCAACTCCATAAACTGTAATAACATTCTTTTGAAAGGAGTCCCAAAAGAATAAGAGGGAGAAAAAGGGGGATACATTTTAGCTGAGTGAATTATAGTGAAAATTTCCACAAGCTGGGGAAGGAAACAGACATCCACATCTAGGAGGCAAAGAGAACACCCATTAAAATAAAAAATAAAATAAAAAGCAGGCCAACACTGAGACATATCATAGGAATATGGCAAAATATCCAGATAAAGAAAAACCATAAAAGCATCAACACAAAAGAAGTTGCTAACTAACAAGGGAAGATTAAAAAAAAAAAAAACTATGGCAGATGTCTCTACAGAAACCTTCATGCAAGGAGGGAGTGGCATCGTATCCTCAACATGCGCAATTGAAAATTATGCAGCTAAGAATACTTTCTCCAGTAAGGCAGTCATTCAGATACAAGGAGTGATAGAATTTCCCAGACAAACAAAAACCAAAGTAGTTCATGGCCTCTAAATCAGCCCTGCGAGAAATTAAAGGGGACCCTTTGACTGGGAAAGGAAGACTATAAGTAACAAAGACTAGAAATAAACAGAGAAAATCTCCAGAAACAATGACTTTGGAGGTAACACTATGGCACTAAGTTTATATTTATCAATAATTACTGTGAATGTAAATGGGTAAAATATCCAATCAAAAGACATAGGAGTTTCAACCTAAAACACCTGTAGTTTGAAAGTGAGGGTAGGGTGAACAATTTATCATGCTAATGGACGTCAAAAGAAAGTTGTAGTACCACACTCATATCACACTAACTAGTATTCAAACCAAAGTTTGTTACAAGAGATCAGGAAGGCAGTATATCATCATAAAGGGGTCCATCCAACAAGAAGATCTGAAGCTTTAAATATTTATACCCCAAAAATGTAAGCACTGAAATATAGAACTCAATTACTAAGAAACATAAAGAAACTCATTGATAATAGACAATAGTAGTAATCAAGAACGTTAACACTCCACTTAAAACAACGGAAAGACAATCTGAGCTGAAAATCAATAAGAAAACAATGGCTTTGAAAGACACATGGACTGAATGGACTTAACAGATATATTCACAACATTCCATCCTAAAGCACCAGAATACACATTCTTTTTGAGTGTGCATGGAACATTCTCCAGAACAGATCACATACTATGTCAGAAATCAGCCCTCTACAAGTACAAAAAGACTGAGATCATTCCATGTGTATTTTCAAATCACAACACTATGAAACTTGAAGTCGACCACAAGAAAAGTTTGGGCAACACCACCAATACATTAGGTTAAAGAACATTGTAGTAAAAGCGGAATGAGATTTTCAGGAAATTACAGAAGCAATAAAAAACACATGGAAGCAAATGAAAATGAAAACATGCCAGTTCCAAACCGTCTGGATGCAGCAAACTTGATGAAGAGTGAAATATATAGCAGTACAGGCCAAACTCAAGAAAGAAGAAAGGTCTCAAACACACAACCACCTTACAACTAAAGGAGCTAGAAAAAGAACAACAAATGAACCCTAAAGCCAGCAGAACAGGTAAACAAAAAAGATTAGAGAAGAAATAAATGATATAGAAACAAAGAAAACCAGTAGAACAGATGAATGAAACTATAAGTTGGTTTTTGTAAGAATAAAGAAAAATGATAAACCCATGGGCAGACTTGGCAAAAACAAAAGAGAAAGGACGAAAGTAAATAGAATTTGAGAGGAGACATCGCGACTGACACCACAGAAATACAACTATGAGAAAATAATTTGGAGATTTATATGCCAACAAATTGGGCAATCTGGAAGAAATGGACAAATTCCCAGAATAATGTAAACTACCTAAACTGAAAAAGGAAGAACTAGAAAACGGGAACAGACTGATAATGAGCAAAGAAATTGAATCATTAATCAAAAATCTACTGACACACAAAAATCCAGGGCCAGATAGGTTCACAGGTAAATTCTACCAGATATTTAAGAAGAGTGTAAAATATTCTATTTAAGTAGAATATTCCTGTCTTCACAAACTGTTCCAAATAATGGAAATGGAAAGAAAACTTCCAAATTCATTCTATAAGATCAGTATGATCACGGTTCCAAACCAGATTAAACCCCACTAAAAATGAGACTTTCAGGCCACTAGCCCTAATGAGCAAGAATGCAACAATTGTCAAGAAAATACGTGCAGGGGCACCTGGGTGGCTCAGTCAGTTAAGTGTCCGACTTTGGCTCAGGTCATAATCTCGCAGTCTGTGAGTTCAAGTCCCGCGTCGGGCTCTGTGCTGAGAGCTCAGAGCCTGGAGCCTGTTTCAGATTCTGTGTCTCCCTCTCTCTGAACCTCCCCCATTCATGCTCTGTCTCTCTCTGTCTCAAAAATAAATAAACGTTAAAAAAAAAAAGATAGAGAATACTTGCAAATTGAATTCACCAATACATTAAAAGGATCCTTTAACGTGACCAGGTGGGATTTATTCCTTGGCTGTAAGGGTGGTTCAATAGTCACAAATAAATCAATATAATCCATACCATCAATCAGAGAAAGGATACGAATGATATGACCCTCTCAATAGATGCAAAAAAAATTTTGACATAGTACAGCATCTTTTCTTGATAAAACCCTCAACAAGGGGTAGAGGAAACACACCTCAACATCATAAAGTCCGTACATGAAAACCCCAGAGCTAATATCCTCAGCAGGGAAAAA